GAGGAAGACAGGCTGGCAAATCCCCTGGGCTTGTCCTTGACCAATCAAATGGAGGGTTAGTTATTTCTGTCCCCCTACTGGGCCCGACTGCTCCCCCATCTTTATCACAGGTTGCTATTTGCCATATGGTGGGAAAGGCTGGGAGCAAAGTCCAAGGACATGGTCTCTTTGGTCTTTTTCTTGCTTCCCTCCACCCCCAAATTTTACTTTTTATTTGCGTGAGAGTCCCATAACATAAAAGTAACCATTTTAAAGTGAACGATTCAGTGGCATTTAGTATATGCACCATCACTCTGGTGCAACCATCACTCTGTCTAGGTCTATACATTTCATCACCCCAAAAGGAAATGCAGTACCCCCTGGCAGGCTCTGCCCCTCCCCCAACCCCTGCAACCACCAAGTCTCTATGGATTTACCTATTCTGGACACTTTGTATGAGTGGAATCAGACAATGTGTGACCTTTCATGTCTGCCTTCCTTCACTTAGCACCGTGTTTTCAAGATTCGTCCATATTGTAGCACGTATCAGTACTTCATTCCTGTTTATGCCTGAATAACATCCCATTGCAAAGGATATACCACAATTGTTTTTTATCTATTCACTCATTGTTGGACATTTGGGCTATGTCTTACCCTTCTAGGCTGCTATAACAACTATAACAAACACCACAGACTGGCACCTTATAAACAACAGAAATTTATTTCTCACAATTCTGGAAGCTGGGAAGTCCAAGGTCAAGGCACCAGTATGGTCACATTGTGGAAGAGACCCTCTTTCTGGTTCATAGCCACCTACTTCTCACTATGTCCTCCTATGGTAGAGGGGCTAGGGAGCTCTGTGGGGTGTCTTATTAGAACACTGATCCCACTCACGAGGGCTCCCCCCTCATAACCTAACATCTCCTAACCTCCCCCCATCTCTTAACCCCCCATCAACTAACATCACCGTCTTTGGGGGTTAGGATTTCAACATGTGAATTTGGGGGACACACAAACACTCAGACCACAGCAATGTGTTTCTGCCTTTAGTTATTGCGAACAGTGCTGTGATAAACATGCATGTACATCAATTTGCTTAAACGCCTGTTTTCAATTCTTTAGGATATACATACCAAGGAGTAGAATTGCTCATATGACAACCCTACATTTAACTCTATGAGGAACTGCCCAGTTGTTTCCCACAATGACGAACCATTTTACATTCCCACCAGCCATGTACAAAGGTTCCAATGTCTCCTCATGCTTGCCAACACTTTTTATTTTCCATTATTATTTTTTTTATTACAGCCATCCCCAGTGGGTGTGAAATGGTACTTCACTATGGTTTGGATTTGCATTTCCCTGATGACTAATTGTGTTGAGCACCCTTTTATGTGCTCTTTGGCCATTTGTAGATCTTGGAAAAAAGAAGTCCATTAAAGTCCTTTGCTCAATTTTTGGTTGGGTTGTTTGTCCTTTGCTGTTAAGTGCTACGAGTTCCTTATATGTCCTGAATACTAAATCTTTAGCAGATGTTTGATTTACAAAGATCTTCCCTTATTCTGTGGGTTTTCTTTTCACTGTCTTGATAGTGTTGCGTCATGTACAGAAGTTTTAAATTTTGATGAAGTCCAACCTCATCTATTTTTTCTTTAGGTGCTTGTGCTTTGATGTCATATCTAAGAATCCTTTACCAAATCCAAAGTCATGAAGATTTATTCTTATGTTTCTTCTAAGAGATTTATGGGTTTAGCTCCTATATTTAGCTTGTTGATCCATTTGATGTAATTTTTGTATATGATGAGAAGTGGGCGTCCAACTTCATTCTTTTACATGTGGCTAGCCAATTGTCCCAGTATGTCTAGGCATGGCATTGGCATCCTTGTCAAAATGGTCATAAATGCATGGGTTTTACTCCCCCAAATCTTTTGAACGCATTTGTGCTAGGTAAAAAGATCCCAGGAGCATTATCTCCTAGGTGCCTCTGTTAGGTAAAGCTCCCTTAAGTGTAAAGCCCGGAAAAGAATAAGGCAGTCCTTGCCCTTGAAGCCCCCAAGTCTGGCCCTGATGGAATCAGTCACACAGAGAGAACATCTCAATCACGTGTGGAAATGTCATGTTGGAGTAAGCAATGGGCACTGCAAGATCCTAGAAAATAGGCACTCAGCCCAGCCTAGGGATTCGTGGAAGTTTCCAGAAGGAGTGGGTACCTGAATGGAATCTCAAAGGAGCATTAAGAGTTGTCCAGGTAATGAAAGGTGCAAATGACAGTCTATGCACAGAAGCTGAGTACGAGCATCACCTGGATAGATGATTCAGCTCCTAAATACATCTTCATTGGAGGTCTACACAGAGCAAGTAAACCAGATGCTTACCCTCCCAAACAGTGTGGACACTCCCTCATTCCCCGGGGCTGCTCTCCAACCAAAAGTTCCATGCACACCTGTTTCTTCTGGTCTCTTTGTCCTGTGTGCTGAAGTCAGACCTACAGAATTGAAGTCAGTCACCACTGGTCCTACCTCTACGATTTCTCCTTCTTGGGCTTCACAGAGATCTCCAAATTGAGTCCCAAAGCAACAGCACAGTCACCCCTGTGCACTTCTCAGGATCTTAAGTCAGCCCTAGATAACAAAGAATCTGTCCTTTTCTCAGGTGGATAAACTGCAACCAAAGGAGCTGCCCCTCTGCTCTCCTCAACACCCCAGCACAGGACACGTTGCCTCAGTCCCTCAAAACCACATCTATCTAGCCTCCTTCACTGTGCACCCAGGACTGGGCACAGCACCCAGGCCTTACCACTCCATGGTCAGAGGTATAGCTGCACTGTGGCCCTAGAGGAGGTAACCCCTATGAATGGCTCATGGGTTCCTCTAAAGGCTGTTTCATGTTACAGATCCCATCCACCCATCCCCTCCCCACAGCCTCTCTTACTGGGTCACTGGGAATTTGGTCTTTGAAGAAAGGCAGAGCATCAGTGCTGGGAAGGGCTTTAGGGGTTCATGACCCACAGAGTCCGTGGATGGGCTTTGTGGGTTTGCAAACCTCTGAACATGCAGACACATTTCTGTACCATTTTTCAGGGGGGATGGTCCACAGCTTTTATCAGCTGGTCTGAGTGCAACAGGTGATGGTTAGTGGCTGAGCCAGAACAGAACCCCCATAACTCCCAGGGCACTATTTCTAGTACCCACAGTGACAACAGCGGTGACATCAGAGAGAGGCATTTGGGCAGAAAGCCCACCAGACTCTTGGGCTCTTGTGCTTCCCAAGGTTTATTGCATCTTGGCACACACAGAAGGGGACTTCCTTAATACATGAAAGGCACAGTGAGGTCAATGGAGGTGGCAGCTTGGGACGAGAGGACCCGCCCTCGCAAGGCCTGCCCCTGTTACCCTGAGGGCTGGAGGGGCAAACATCTCAGGCACATTTATGATACCAGATGGATCAGAAAGCCAACCAGAGGGCTGAATTCTGCAGGCCAAAGCTGAGGGACTCGGAACCCCACCCAGCCCCACTGCTCACTTTGGAAAATCTAAGACCTCCCACTCCCCACCAAAATAAGCACACAAAAGCTATCGTGTGGTGTGCTTTAAGTTCTCTCTCCAGGAATCTATGTGCCTATCTTTCTAGTTATTTGATTAAACTTTCCTCCTCCTCCAGGAAGCCTTCTTTGCTTAGCTTCTACATCCTGGTCTCTTCTCAGCACTGTTGCATGGGACTGCCATTCCCTGATTTGTACGAGGACATGATTTGCATCTATGTACATCTGTCCCATCAGCCTGCGATGGCCTCCAGAGCAGCTTGCTCTGATCTGCCTCCTGACTTTCTAAAGGCTGGTGCATGTGGGTGGGGCGGGGCCCATTATCATTAGGGGGTGGGCAATTTGGTGAGATTGACACACTGACAAGAGTGTACCTCTGATATTACTCAAGGGCAGTTTATTGACTGTACAGCAGGAATCCAGAGTTCTTAAGTCAAGCAAAGAAGGGACTGGGTGTGACCACTTTTAGGAATATTTACATCAAGAGCCATGACTTCTGGCCTGGGCAGTACCATCAGAGATAGATCAAGCTCCCCCCACCAAGCACAGCTCATAGCAACAAGAATTGAGAATCACAAGCACAGCAGGATACAGCCCCAGAGAGAGCACTCAAGATAAGTCACACACCCACAGTCCTCAACACAAAGGCAACATAATCATGCTGCCCTCATCAAAAGAACCATGGGTTTAAAAAAACTCCCTTTGTGAAAGAGGCAGTGATATGCCAGGGAAAGTATATAGACCCTGGAGTCAGCCAGACCTGGGCTTGACTCGTGGCCCTGGTACTTCGTGGGTCACAGGGACAGATTCTACAGCCTCTCAGAGGATGGGGCTTCTCCTCTGTCCTGAGGATGCTGGTTACATCCACCCAGCAGGTTGGGTAAGAAAGACAGGCATGCGGGGAGCCTGGCACGTAGCAGGTGCTTAGCATATGGTTGTAGCTATTACCAGTAAGGGAGGAGTGGTGGGTGACCCAAGGTGGCAGGAGATCCCTACGTTCTCTGTCACTTGGCTTTGTAGAGACAGATACAGCTGGTGGTCTGAGAGAGGACACCTTTTCTCCTAAATAATGGAGTCATTTGGCAAAGATCTTTCTGAGGGGACAGGCAAGGGCTGGCTGACCGCTTGCCTCCTGGGTGCACGTGGAATGAGCCTCAGCCTCAGCACACAGCAAGACTATTCCCCCCTCCCCTCCCGCTCCGCCACCCCCCTCCCCTCTTCTTCTGGGGAGGACCAGAGCTTCCCAGGGCCAAGAAGGTAATTGGAGCCTGTGCCCCAAAGCCTCCTGAAGGCAGTAAGGGGAAACAAGAAGTCAGAGTCCACGCGGTACCCGAGGAAACAGGACAGTCAGGGGAGGCACGGCACGGGTGGCAGAGCGCACTACAGACAGTCCTGGGACTCGGGGGTGGAGGGTGGGGGACAGCAGACAACTCCAGGTAGGGCGGTGGCCAGGATCTCTCTTCTCCCCGGTACCGGGAGTTTATCGGGTAGCTTTCCTGGAGGGGGCGCTCTTGCCCCGGGCATCCTTGAGGTCTCCCACTCGTGCCCCTTTGGCCCTGGACTGTCCGGCCCAAGTGCTGCTGGAGCTGCCCGCCAGGCCACTGGGCCCCGTGTCAGCACTGCCAGAGGTGCTGGGGTGGTAGTAACTGTTTCCACCGCTGCTGATGACAGCTGAGGAGGAAGGGCCGAGAACAGAGAAGGGCAGTGAGGGTCAGTCAGCAAAGAAGCCATCCCCCCTCAACCCCCAGCAACCTTCAGCAGCCTGGAAACATCACAAAGACCCACAGACACCCTGCGATGTGCCAGGCTCCGCGTGAGGCGAGGACCACACAGCACAGACACGGTCCCTGTCCTCCTGGAGATTCTTGGACTGTTTGGCGCCCAATGTACATTCTTTTTTTTTTTTTTTAACTTGTTATTTAAAGTTTATTTTATTTGGGGCGCCTGGGTGGCTCAGTCGGTTGGGCGTCCGACTTCGGCTCAGGTCATGATCTCGAAGTCCGTGAGTTCAAGCCCCGCGTCGGGCTCTGTGCTGACAGCTCAGAGCCTGGAGCCTGTTTCAGATTCTGTGTCTCCCTCTCTCTCTGACCTTCCCCCATTCATGCTCTGTCTCTCTCTGTCTCAAAAATGAATAAACGTTAAAAAAAATTAAAAAAAAAATAAAATAAAACAAAGTTTATTTTATTTATTTTTGAGAGAGAGCGAGAAAGAGAGAGAGAGAGAATCCCAAGAAGGCTCCACACTGTCAGTGCAGAGCCCAACGTACGGCTCGAACTCACAAACTGTGAGATCATGACCTGAGTCAGCCGCTTAACCAACTGAGACACCCAGGCGTCCCTGCCCCTGTGCACATTGTTAACCTCTCTCTGGATGACAATGCCCTGGGAAGAGACAGGAAGGAAATGGGGTAGGCATGACTTCAGTCACTGTTTCCATGGGACAAAGGGAAATAGGTTTCCTTTGAAGCCAGAGAAGCTTCAAAAGACAGTTGCAGAAATTCCCAGACTGGGGGTGGGGCAGAACCACTAAAGGAGGTGGCATCGCCCTATCCTCGTGTCCACAGCTTTCCCATCCAGCCAGAGTCCCCACCCAACCCATCTCTCAGGGACACTTACAGATGCTCACAGACGATGGATTCTCACCAGACATCCTGTAAGACAGAAAGTTAGAGAAGGATAAAACCTCAAGGAAGTGTCTACATTCAGCTAAACCTTGATGAGCACCTGCTTTAACCTGTAGATTATTTTCATTCATCCTTAAAACAATCCTCGAGATGGGGATTATAATCTCATTTTACAGGTAAGAACATAAAGGTGCAGAGACGCTCAATGATTTACCAGGACTGCAGAGCTTGTGCGTGGCAAAGCTAGTGATGAAACCCAATCTGGGGTTTCTGTGTGACCCCACCTGGTATTTTCAGAGCACCCCTCATGCTATTTGCTTCATGTTTGACCTCCATCACAGGAAGGAAGGGAAGCTGAGCTCCCCAGTCAAACCACCACCTTGTGCTCATGTTGTTCATCTTCCACTTCCCAAATGTCCCCAGCCTAGCAGTGAGCCACCCACAGCCCCTTCTCCCCTGCTTCCCCCCGCCCACCCCCCCCCCACCTGCACTCCTCGCCCTCCAGCAGCTTGCGGTAGGTGGCGATCTCCATGTCCAGGGCCAGCTTCAGGCTCATGAGCTCCTGGTACTCCCGCAGCATCCGGGCCAGCTCCTCCTTGGCCTGGTGCAGGGCGGCCTCCAGCTCGTCCAGCTTGGCCCGGGCATCCTTCAGGGCACTGTCGCCCCGCTGCTCGGCATCGGCGATGGCCGTCTCCAGGTTGGCACACTGAAAGCCAAAGACCAGGGAGATCATCAGAATGCAAGAGAGTTTTTAGATCTTCTGGGTTAGGTAGCACAACCCCCATTCTTTACAGATGAGGCCCGAGGTGATAGCAATTAAGAGCTGCAGAGCCAGCACTCGACCCTGGGTCTCCTCTATTTTCTGTCGCAGATGGATATTTACAGGAATTGGTGTGAGAAGCTGTTGAAGCAGTTACATGTCATGAGTATAGGAAGAAAACTTTGATGTTCGCAAAGTTGTCTAGTCCCTGGGGTTGGAGGCCACCAGTGGCTATAAACTCAAAGGACACCAGGTCCAAGAGAATCACGCTGAGACCCCAGCCAGAACGCCTCTAAGGAGCAGACAGCATGCCAAGGTGCCACTGTAGTCAGATTCCTGCCTGCAGGACAGCTCCCAGTCAGGACCCTTGCTACCTGTTAGCACCAAGAGCAAGCATTTCTGGACCAATCCAGCACTCTGCAGGGAGTCTGGCTCAGTGCTCCCCCCTTGGCGGCCTGAATTGGGTGAAGGAGGCTTCCCTTAGAGCAGGAGGTTAAAGGTCTGAAATCACAACTACAACCTCAGAAACTAGATTCTGACAAACACCTAGCAGCACTGTGATCTCATGTACTGATGGGGAGGAGAGCTGTCCCCGGGCTCCCCCACATCGCCTGGAGTAGAGGCCTCAGGGAGGAGAGTAGGCTCTGGTCTCTCAGTTTGGTGACTCTGTCACTGGCAGAGTTGACCTGGTTCTTTGGGGAGAACCAGGACAGGAAGGATTCCCCACCACCTTAAAATCAGCTCCCCACTGACATGGTGTTTAAGTCTTGCTGCTTCCAGGTGAGACAGGATCCCCCAGCTGAAGTGGACATCCCACGTGGTACAGGGCAGGGCCACCCAGGAGGGCTTCATCTGCTGTCGTCCTCCCTCCGTCACCAGGACTACGCCCCACCCGGGAGGGCAGGAACTTAACGTGGCCATGGAGGGGCCCGGGATGCATTCCCCACGCATCCCACATGTGTTGAGTGTCCATTGGGAGGAGGAGGTGTGGGAGCTGCCGCCAGAGGGCACATCTGAAGGGTTGTTCAGCAGGTTTGTTTCACACAGAAAAGGTCTGAGAAAGAGGGAAAAAAGAAAGAGGAAACCTGATTTCTAATGTTGGCTCTGTTGATGACCGGCTGGAGACCTTGGGCAAGTCACTTTCCCTCTCCAGCTCATCTTCCTTACCTACGACCTGGGAGTCAGATGAGGTGAGCTCAAGGCATTTCCCAATCCTGAGCACAGTGCCAGCTCTGACCACAGGGGCACAGAGGCAGGTGGGAAACAGGGACAGTGGGTGGCTGAGGGGCTCCCACGCCCAGGTTGGGAGATTTGCTTTGCGCAAAAGGGTGGGCTCCAGTTTCTCCATCGCAGGGGATGAAATTGAACTTCACCAAGAACTTGACAATCTTTGTGAAGTTGCTGCCCACCTGCTTCTTCACATTGGCAATCTCACACCGGATCCTCTGGATGAGCCGGTTCAGCTCTGACATCTCGTTCTTGGTGTGTTTGAGGTCATCACCGTGCCGGCCGGCTGCCAGCTGCAGCTCTTGGATCTGGTTTCCCAGAGATAGAAAGTTGGTTATGAGACAGGACTGCATCCCCTGTCCCCCAACTTGAAGTAGGGGAAGGGTCCTGAGCAAACAATCCCATGGCTGGGACCAACCAGGGGAGGTGGTTCTGGTTCCAGAGCAGGAAGTGATAGAGCGGGGGCCTGGGCACCCTTCCAGGGGTTTTGTGGTGGTTCCGGCCCAGAAGTCCACCCCCTTCTCTAAGCAGAGCCCGTGTGCTGGGTCCATCCTTTCTCCTTGCTCTGCTTGTGTTATTTCCTCAGCTGGATGAAAGAAAGACGTAAGTCACATTTATTAAGCACTTTCAAAATATAAGAAGTGCTTTCAGCTTGTTTAGCACCTCTTTACAGAAGCATCTGCATAGGCCAGGCTCTGCTCCAGGTACTGGAGGACATAGCAGTGAGCAGGACAGGTGAAGTCCCTGTCCCCACAGAACATAAATTCTCCCATAGCCCTTTCTCAGTGACAAGTGGAGAGCCAGGAAACTGACCGCCGTGTGTACCCTTAAGATGGCGGGATTGTTGGCTCGGGGCTCGTAGCCCATATCTGCCCCTCTCCCCTTGCCCAGTCCTCCAGAGAAGAGGGGATGACATATCCATGGACAGGGGACGAGGAATCTGTGATCTTTGCTGTTAGTGGGATTTAACAAACATGAAAAGGGGGGCCAGAGCACGGCAGGTGTGAAGCCCTGAAGAGCACCCAGGCAGAGTCTCCTCCAAACACAATTGCCATTGCCCAGAAGGTGCCTAGACTTTCACTTCCTCATCTTGGAAGTCTCCCCACACTGATCAGGAAAGAGCTCGGGGCTTCCTCTTCCCTCCCCACCCCACCTTGGGTCTTCCCTAGTTACTCTCCCCCATATTTGTTACTCTTCTGCCCCATAATGACATGCCATAATCCCTGGAAACACATTTGTTTTACAGCAGGAACACCTCTCTTCTTTCTTCCGTCAATGGATTGCCTGTCCCTCTCCGTTGAATATGCCCATCCACACCAATTTTATGTTTTACCTTGGATAATAGTCTCTACTAAGAATTCTTTTCGAGTAGGATGTGGTTAAAGCATTGGTTGTAACCATTCTTTCTTTCAGCACATCTACAAAGATGGCTTTTGAATTCACTGATGGAGGTGTTCCTTCCCAGGAGAGGAGAGGCTGGTGGAGGACAGCGATCCCCCTGGTGCCCACCTTGCTCTGGTACAGGGCCTCAGCCTCTGCCTTGCTCTTCAGGGCGATCTCCTCATACTGAGCTCGGACCTTGGCGATGATGCTGTCCAGGTCCAGATCCCGGTTGTTGTCCATGGACAGGATAACAGAGGTCTCACTGGCATGAGTCTGGATCTGGGCCATCTCCTGAATTGAGAGAGGAGGAGAGTCAGTGTCACCCAGCCTCCCTCTGCTGCTTATTAGTCTTCTGGGCTGACGTGGTGGGAAGAAGTGCCTGCTCCAGATCTGTCTGTTGGAGCCGAGGGAGAAGGCTCACAGCAGCAGGATATACCCCACAGGGGCAGCAGGCAGTCGACGGCATTTCCCATAATTCACAGGGTTAAGAACCTGTGCTTGAGTAGAACTTCACAAGGTCATTTTTTCCTGCCTGCACACAAGGTCACTATCATAGCCCAGGTGGGATTGTCTCTTATGTATATGGCTTCTGGGGACCAAGATCCTACACTTCCGTGGTCTCGCAGTGCAGAGTTTTGCACCTTTCTATAAAAACAGGCTTCAGTCTATTTATTCTAAATCCTTCTAATTGGCATCCCAGGGAAGAGGCAAGTGAAGCCTCCAGCTGGCAAGAGGCAGGGTGGGGAAAGGGTAGGAGTATCCTCACCGCGTCATACAAACACTTGAGGAACTTGATGTCTTTATCCAGAGAGTCTACTTTGGCCTGAAGCTCCACCTTGACCGTGTAGGCTGCATCCACATCCTGCCAAGAGGGGCCCAGAACATTCAGTCAATACCATCCCATCTCATCAGCTTTCCCTGTCCCTGATCCCAGAGCCATCTGATTTCCTATTTTTTTTTGCCTGCAAATGGAAGCATATGGTTGAATAAAATCACTCAATATTGCTTTTTCTCATACTCACTTACTCTCTGAAAATAGGGAAAGGGGAATGTTGCTTGTTACACTGGAGAAAAACAATGCCCAGAGAGGTAGAATGAGTTTCCCCAAGTCACACAGGAAGGTCAAGCTGGACCAGAGTTTCCTGACTCCCAGGCCAGAATTCTCTGCCGTCTGTCTCTCTGCCCATCCCCTGGGTGTGTGTCCTGTCTCTCCAACTTGCTAGAGGCCAGAACAATGACTCCGTCCCCATTTAGGCGTAATCCCCTCCCGAGGAGCCCTGGGCTGGAGTCCTGAGTGGAGGCGGTTCAGATGGGGGTGCAAGAGACCAAGGTCCATAGGCTCTTCTCTTTCTTACCTTCTTGAGCACCACAAACTCATTCTCAGCTGTTGTGCGCTGATTAATCTCCACCTCATACCTGGGAGAAAGGAGAGAGGATAGCAGAGACCTCAGTCCCACTGGCCAAGTAACCTTCCCTTCCCACTGTCCGGGCAGATGCTTGGGTGCAGAGTCCCTGCTGGATCGCCTAGTGTTGCACAGGCTGGGAGTGGCAGGACTATGTCCCTGAGTTGCCTCATTTATATTCCACTCTCTGGATCCTAGGAAAATATCCAAGTGTCCATTAGGCTCCCTAAACTGGCCACTGAACCAGTCGGTGGATCAATGAGCATGGAACTCCTTCCAATCAACCAGATAGGACGTTCTTATCAACAGAGCAAGCTGTTGTGCCACAACCAGGGGAGGGGTGTGAGCCCCTGGCCCTGGTGCTTGCTCCCTCCCCACCGAAAAAGTGGCACAGAGATTGGGTTTGCCAAGAAGCCTCTGGGAATACGACCTATGACCTTGGTGGGCCGTGCTCACCTCTTCTTGTAGTCCTCCACCACGTCCCGCACGTTCCGCAGCTCCGAGTCCAGCCGCACCCTGTCCCCGGACAGCATCTCCAGCTGCTTCCGCAGGTTGCTGATGTAGCCCTCGAGGATGGGCTCCAGGTTCTTCCTGCAGCTGTTCAGGTCCAGCTGCTGTAGCAGCTCCCACTTGGTCTCCAGCACCTGGTTCTGCTGCTCCAGGAACCGCACCTGGGACCACAATGGAGGCTATTGTGTCCATGGACATGGGCCATTGACTCCCAGGTTATATGAATTTTTCTAAAGTCGTTTGGCTTAAGTGCTGACTCTCCACTCATGGGATTCCATGCAAACTAGACCTTTACAAGTGCTCATTCCATAGCCTTCTGGACAAAACCAATCCCTGAAATCTCGAGGAAGAAGGAAATTCCATAGCTTTCTTCCGTCACCTGACTCAGCACCTGGGAGATGCTCCCCCTGATGACTCAACCAAGGGTTTCTTCTGTACTGTGAGCCCTCCCCTCCCAATAGTGCTGATCCTACCTTGTCTTCTTTAAAGAGCTGGAGATTCATCAAGTTGTCCTCCAGAAACCCAGCGCTTCTTTCTCAAGGTGGGGCTATGCTTCACTCAATTCTCCACCCTTCTTTGCAAAATCCCCCAAGAAAGCAGCACATTCATTCATCTCCTTGTGCTACCTAGCTTACAAGATGTTATGATCAGGGAGCCCTTCCTGACACCCAGCTGCCACCTTCCCATCCACTGTGCCCTGTCTACTCCCAGGCAACAGGGATTTGTTCCCATCTCACTGGACTGTCTCGTCCTCCTCCTGTGAGACCCACCTTGTCGATGAAGGAGGCGAACTTGTTGTTCAGAGCTTTGATCTGCTCCCGCTCCTGGGTGCGCACTCTCTGGATCTCAGGGTCCAGCTCCACGTTGAGGGGGGCCAGGAGGCTCTTGTTGATGGTGACCTGGTGGATGCCCCCGGGTGGGCACATGGATGGGCACACGGGCCCCGAGGCCACACTGCCAAACATGCTGCCCGCAAAGCCAGTCGCCCGGCCCCCTCCATATCCAGAGCCAGGCCCAAAGCTGTAACCTCCAGTCCAAACACCACCGCCAGCCGTATTGAAGGAAATACACCGATTCCCTCCAAGACTATAGAGGCTCCGACTGCTGAAGCCAGCCCCAGGTCCTTTGCCAGCGGCACGGCAAGAAGCCATACTGCCCACAGCCTTCCTCAGCACCACGGCTGAGCGCCCACTGAAGCCACCCTTGTCACCACCAGGCTTGATGTTCAGCTGGCGACTCATGGTGGGAAGGATGGAGTTGACAGAGCTGGAGAGAATACCAACGGGTAGTGAACACTCTGACGGGACACCCAGAGTGCTGCCTCCTTTTATCCTGTTGAGCCCAGGACACCGGAAAAGGGCGTCTCTCCACTATCTCCTTTCCTAGTGCTAAAGGGCCAGGGGCCATGGGCAATTTGTAGAATAGAGATCTCCAACCCTTTGTGCGAACAAAGCATTTCTGATAGCAAGCGGAATATGCTGTCCTTGCAGACCGGAGTGGTCTAATCTGGCATTTATCTGTGCTCTTAATTAGGGAGCAGGAAACTTATCCCCTTCGGAGATCTCCTAGCTTTATTTTTCCAGGGCTTCCTCTGTCTTGTTTATGTATCAGTGAGGAGCAAAGGCAATGCCTGGCTTTATCCAGAGAAGACCCATCTGAAAACCCAAGGTTTCCTCCCAAGAGAACCCATCTCCCATTATTGGGTTGGTGGTAGTGAGGAGCCGAAGTGTTCATGCCAGAGAAGAGGAGACTTGGAAAGAACATGGTGTCTTCAAAGATCTAGATCCAAGACAGAAGTTCCAGGAGTCATTCTTTCGGTCACTGTCGGGACCCCAGCTGTTCAGCAACGGAACGAACCATAGGAAGATAATGGAAGCAACCACACAGAGTCTGCATGGCCCTCAGCAGGGGTATTGTCTGGGGCTTTCTGTGGGTGAAGCCTGCGGGGGGTGGTGGTTGGTGGTGACCTTGATGTTGCCTTTTCAACAGTAAAAACCTTTTCAGGCAGCTGGCAGTTCCCGCAGCCACGTTTTTGCTCCCGAATAAGGTTGTCCACCCCATACAGGGTCTCCCCAACCCCTGTGATCCCTGGAGAAACACTCCACACCCAGGGACCAAGCTGCAGGAGTCCCTGAGTTCGGGGTGGACTGTTCTGTCAGTTTCCTGATCATTTCAGGAAGCCACTCAATTAAGGGAGGGGAGAGAGCAGCTCTTTCTTAGTTCAGGTAGTCCTGGTGGGGTGAAATGTTACAAAATTCCTTCAAAAACAGGCATCTGGTAGCTATCCTGATGCAGGACTGCGGAAGCTCCTTCTCCAGGGACCCTGTCTCCCCAGCCCCCCACCCTCCCATCCCCCACCGCCCCAGCAGGGCCTCGCCCCAGGGCATGGGGGGGGCATAATGTAAGTGGTTTCTTGTGGCTTTCTAAGCCATATTGCAGGTGCTGGTTTGTGAATGAGTCCCTTGACCAACACACAGCCCCAGCCACCAAGGAGCTGCGGACCAATAAGAGGAATCTCCGTAAAGAACTTAATCTGGGGCCAGAGCTCCAGACAGAACAGCACTGTGATGCTGGGGGAAGCACACTAATTTTGACCATAGATGTCAGGAACCTCCAGAAGGCGGGGCTAGTACCCCCCCCCCCCCCCCCCCCCCGCCCCGCCAGCACTCTTGGGGGCGGGGGCTGGTTCGCAGCAGCTGCTCCTAGGGGACTGACATATGACTTGTAGTGGCAGCAATGGTGGCAGCAATAGAACCCACCCACCGTAGTAATAGTGACAGAGCAGACAAAAAGAGTTCGCATCAATCGTTCACACCGCATGTGCCCAGCATTGTGCTCAGGACCACCAGCATTTCTACTTTAACCCTGACCTTCCACACTTTTCTTGACAGGTGAGAACCGGAGGCTTAGAGATGATAAAGAATTTGCCTGAGGGCACTGGGCTAGGAAGTCAGAGCTGGCACTGGAATTCGAATGCGTCTGGTCTCAAGGCCGCGTTCCCAACCAGCACGTAATGGGATAAGATGTCAGCTAGCAGCAAAGACGCAGGGCTTTCTGTGCTGGGGGCTGGGCAGTGATAGTGATGGCGGTGATGACGGCCAAGGGCTGGGGGTGGTGATGCAGAAGGAAGAGGAGGAGGCAGGGGGGACTTTCCAGACAGGTGTCATCATCGCTGCCACGCACAGGTGCCCCTCCCAGCGAATTCTAGGGGACGTAATTGCAGGGAATTGTCTCCGACCCACATTGTGGGATCTCTGGCAGTCCCGATCTTTGCTGTGATGGCCACCTTCTAATCAGCCACCACGCTCCCCACCCCAGTCTTTGAGTTCACTGGGCTACTGAGCATGCCAAAGTCTGAAGAGATCAGTTCATTCAATAGCCGGAAAATTGAGTTCCTACTGTGTGTACCGCTCTCCGTGGGACAGTGAGAGAGAAACGTCTAAGACACTCTCCTTCTTCTCTAAAAAACGGAAACTGAAGTGGAGGAGACAAAACACAAGCGTGTGAAACTTGTCTGGGCGTTGTTCTTGCAGTTTTAACGCCACATGCCTGCACTGGATTACGTGTGACTCCGACAAGCAGTTACTGAAATTCCGATTAAAAAAAAAATCAGAATAAAATACGTGGGGCTTGGGGCTCCCGGGGGGGGGGCTCAGTCGATTAGGCACCTGACTTCGGCTCAGGTCATGATCTCGCGGTTTGTGAGTCTGAGCCCCGCGTTGGGCTCCGAACTAACAGCAAGGCGCCTGCTTGGGATTCTCTCTCTCTCCCTCTCTGCCTCTTCCCCACTTTCTCTCTCTCTCTCTCTCTCAAAATAAATAAATAATAAAAAATACACATGGGGCTTTCTGAGGTGGGGGTCGGGAAGTGAGAGGTGGGCCAGGCTGCACAGGGGCAAAGGGGACAAAAGGGAAAGACGGTGGAGTGGCCGGGACACCTGCCCTCTCCCTGCGGACAGTGCGGCATCGTGTGAGGGTAAAGACGGGAAGAGACGTCACGCTTTAGCTTAATGAGCAGTCTCTGTGTTGCATGAGGACTGTCGGGAGACAGGTACCCCGGGGAGCCCCCAGGGAGCTGAGCCTGTAGACACCACCAGCTCCTGCCATCTTGGTTAAGGATACTTCCGGAGGGTAAGAGGCCCGCTCTGCAGGGCACACCACACTGGAGGTAAATCAAAAGCAGGGCCTCGAATAATCTCAAATGGACACAACCAAAGTCCCGTCTGCCTGGCTTGAGAATGGATATTGAAGGCCATTTTCCTCTAGTCCATTGGCCTCTGGACTACCCCTCAACGCAGTCTACGGAAACAGTGCTCTGTAGTTAAAGGCCATTAATGGAGGGAAGAAGAAACCTGAAGGGTCCTTGACCGAACCTTGGGGCTGTAAGACTTGGGGACACACCACTGCGCCTTAGAAATGGCAAAAGCCCTTGAAACTGAATTCCCTGATTTCCCTTTAAAAGTGAGCTCAGTGCAGAAACCTAAGACTCCTGACCTGTCTGAACCAGTTTGAAAGGAGGCTGTTTTTCCATCCTTGTCCAAATTTAGCTAGCCCCAACAATAGAGTTCATGTGCTTTTCTGCCATCCTCACCACACCCCCTCCCGGCACCCTTCCCCTCCCTGCCATGAAATGCTCTGCATCCTGGAGGATCCCATCTGACAGCAGATAGAACATGCACCTGCGAGGTGGGGCCCAGCCCACCGCGGCAATCTGGGGCTCCAGATGCAGGATGAGAGGCAGAGGGGCAGACGATGTGGAGGGAGTGAGACAGAAAGTTCTGCGTTAGGAAGAAGGGGCACGGGATATGAGGGAGAGCACCCCAGACAGGACGGCTGGGAGAAGTAGCTGAAGACCATTTTGTAGGGTGACCAACGATCCCGGTTTGCCTGGGACGGAGGGGTTTTCCAAAACACGCGTCCTTCAGTGCTGCCCCCTGGGCAGTTCTGAAACACCCGGACGGTTGATCACTCTAGCACCCTCCATATCGCACTGTACAGACTAGCAAATTCTCCAGCAGTTTGTAGGGGTCACTAAAGTTGCATCTCCCCCAGTCTGTAAAATGTCAATACCCAAGCAATTCTCTGGTCTCCCTCCCTCTCTCTCTCTCTCTCTGCTAATCCCCCCAACAGCCCCCTACCCAAGTGTTAGCATGAATTCCCCCCACCCCAGATTATTGAGAAGACGGGTAGCTAGATGACATCAATTTAACTCTATTCCACACTCACTCACTTAAATGCTTGCCCCATTATAAGGTGCTGTGCTGAGCGAAATCCCAGATGGGCCATCACCATGGTCCCCACTGCCATTTCTTGGTGCCACGTTAGCATAGAAGACGCTGTACAAGACGCCTCTACTGACTACAACTTAACAGAGGATGTTTAGTGACTTGAAACTTCTCCCTGCTAGTTCTCATAGAACTCTACAGACACGCCTTGGTATCTCTCCACAAACACCCTTCTCTGAGTCGAGGGCCTTCCCCACGTCCCCTCCTCCGCACCAGCATCTCTTTCCTTCTTGCTGGCATAGTCCAGCTCAGGAGGGGCGCGACTCCTCCTTCCCTCCTCAGGAGAAAAGCGGCAGGGCAGTCCCGTCCCCTGGGTGCACCACTGGATTTCAGCCCCACTCGCCCCCTCACCAGGTCCCGGTGCTGGGCACAACCCTCGTGGCCCGCAGGGCAGCCTTGGGTGGCTTGCCTGAGTCCCAAGGATGGGCTCATGACGTACGGTGAGTTGGAGCCTCTGGCCAGAAGTCTCCCTCCTCCCAACAGGAGGGTCGCCAGAGAGTCCTGGCTTCCCTGTGAGGTCCCCCCCTGCTTCTCCAGGGCTGGCTGGGCTCTGTCATCCAGTCCCCTGGGTCTCTTCCTCACTGAGCCCCTGGGAGAGGGCGGTGGTCTCCCAGTTCCCACCCCTGTCCACTCTGGGCTCTATCCACAGGGAACTCTGTCCTGCCCTCCTTCCCTCCGACTGGTTCTGCAGTCTGGTTTTTGATTTTCGCAGACTGGGTACCCTTTTGCCTTCAGCATATCCCGGACTGTGTCTCACTAAACTCCTCCATTCTTGTTTCCTTCTCTGTCTTCCTACTCCCTGGCTCCTAAGCCTTTAATGGCTGGACAGACCCCCAGTCCTTTAGTGTCGATCAAGAACTCGGTAGCTCTTCATCCCCCCCCCCCCCTTTTTAAAAAGAAAAGTTCTCTAAACTCTCTACAGCTCCACCCCACCACCCACCTAGTCATCACAGGGCA